TTTTCTCTGAGCTAACTTTTAAAGATATATCAATTAACACAGTATAACAATAATTAGATGACATTATTTTCGTGTTTTTTAAGAATAATACATTTTAAAATTTTATTGTAATTTATGTGTTTTTATTAGAAATTCTTTTTTCTACTATTTAAACAAAAAATTTGGTAAAATATTCATAAATTTTTGTTTTAGAGATATATAAAATTTTAGATTTATCATACAGAAAAAATAGCAAAGACAAAAAAAGGAGAGAAACCATTAAAGCTATGCTAAGAATGTATACTAACATACATTCTTAGCATAGCTTTAATGGCAGAAACTACAACAATAATATATCTTTTCTTTTAGAAATCAAATTATTCTGAAATTTAAATACTTAGATCTCACACAGGTCATATTTCTGTAAATTAGTAATTTTCATAAAATAATAAACTCTGTAATACCCAATGTTTAGGAGCACACATATTAGAGATTAAGAGATAATAGTTAAAAAATAACTTCTATATAATAACAAACAATCTATGTTAGTTCTTTAAGAAACATTCAATATCTGACTGAAAATTTTAGATTCAGTCAATATTGTTTTGGAAACAATCTGAATTTGTCACTTATGGCTACTAAAAACAGTTTTGAGAGAATGTGAAAATTTTGGGATTATTTTCCATATTAAATTCATTGTTTGCTTTCCCCCCAAAAAGGAGGGGGTGGCAAATTTGAAAAGAAAATATATTTTATTTACAAAAAGAAAAGCAAACTAAATCATTCTATACCAATGATAATAATGCATGATGTTAAAGCACCATTATTCAATGCTTACAGCAATGCTGCAAATTTTCATAAAAATGTCAATAAATATATCTTTTAACGTGCTGAATGCAGGAATCTTAAAACTGCACATTTGTAAGAGTATGAGAAAAATCATCAACTGAGGGGTCTGAGCAGTATAATGCATTTCCATTCATCAAATCACAAATAAAAGCATCTACATGGAAAACAATATCTTAATATATTATCCATAAAAAATGGCTTGGTATGCATTTTGTATTAAGATAATTTTCAAATGATTTGCATAACTAGTAAAAGAAGGAAATTTTTATTATAAAATCTCAAATAATGGAATCTTTTTGTATAGAATGAGATACTGTAGCAATAAATTTCCTATTATGCACTTCACAAAGTATTTCATATTGAAAGGAAAAGAAGTAAGATATGTGATAAGATTATTCTTTGTTTACCAATCCTAAAATGTAACTTAAAAACTATCTGAAAACCTCTGCACATTTTTATATTAGTTCAAAGACTTTCCTGTTCATCATGCTTTAGAATTTGTGAGAAATACTGCTTAAGATAATTCTAACTTTATAAGGTAATAAGCAAATGGTTATTTATAATTTATTCAGTGATTAATTTAGCAGTTTTAAAAGAACACATGAAGCGGTGTAACAATAATTAAAATACTACATTTCCAAAGAAGACATACAAATATTACTTTCAAATCACTGCATAGTAGGTGCCACTTAATGTGATCATGTTTTTTCATATCTATTTTCATAATATTAGCAGAATAATAACATTAATTTTAAAAAAGCACTTCAGAATGAAAATGGAATTTAACTAATTTAATTAAAAAATATCAAGAACACAAGTATTTTCACAGCATTTTAATTAGAAAATGCAAAAATGTGTTTGTGAACTGCTCATAATGTTCCTGGATATTATTTTACTGCTTCTGTACACGTAATCTTAAAATTAAAAATGCATCTTTTGTTTGAAGACTGCCAGTGTAAAATTAAGCAAAAATGCAACCATTATTTGCCATCAGTGTTTTCAGGATTTTTTTTTGGGGGGGGGAGTGGCTTCTGAAAAAGAAAGGACTTATGTGTGATTGTTCTTAAAATCAATAGAGTTCCTCATAGGATACGTCAAACTAAAGTTGTTGTTTTTTTAAACCTGATTTTAAATAAATGACTAAAGTTGAAATCAAGGTGTTTGGAAACCTAATCTCACACTTCGCAACATTTCCGTGTCACCTGACAATTTTTTAAAATCTATTTTAATCTAATTTGGCAATGTTAAATTTTAAAAATCCATTCTGTATGAATCTGGACATATTAACTAAATTGTTGATCACAATAAACAATATTAACTGAATTGTTGATCACGATAAACAAAGTATTTTCCAAGTTTTCATATACAAATGAGTGAGACTTCACCACATCGATGACAATATCCAATTAATAACATTAACCATGACCACAATAAGCAGCGTCTACTGTATTCTTTTAAGTTACATAATGCACTTTTTTATCTCTCTATACTTTGTATATAGCTATAAATTACATGTCTAAATACGTTGAAAAAAAAAAAAACTTGAGAAGAAAATACAGAGCAGGATGCAATGTTAGCAAATACAGCATTCAGAATTTTTTTCACATGTAAATTTAAAAAAAAAAAAAAATAAACATTGTTATTGTCAAAATTTATTAGCATAACACAGCTCAATGCATAGTGGAACCTCAGGTTACAAATATGTTTCACGATGAACAAATTTCCTAACCAAAAAAAAGAACTGTCTCGAAAGACAAACATACAAGCTATCAATAAATGAATTTCCTACATGTTTTGAGGTCACTTCTAACAAAAATGAGCAGTTTTAATATTCTCTATTATTCAATTTTCATGGACAAAGCCTTGTAATACATAACTAATGAAACAATGAATTCAATCTAGAAGAAATTATTACCAGAGATTTTGAAGAAGTTGACAGTTAAGGATTTTTCTGTTTCTATATAATGCCTAAATCCTTTGACGCGCGGTGGTCGTGCCCTGAAACCACCAATTTTGGAATTTTTTTTTTCTTCTTTCCGAAATTTTTGAATGAAAATTGATTTATTACTGATCTTTTACCAGAGAGTTTTCTCTGACCTCAACACACTTGCTCCCCAAGCTAGTATTGTGATTTTATAAATTATTTCCTGTGGTTTAAATTTAATGTAAATATACTTTGCTATAATAAAAATTGAAATCGCTTAAAGTTTTATTTAAATTAAAAATATTTTCTGAATATTTTGGGATGAAATATGAATAAAATAAGTATGAATGGGAAACGAATGATCCGTACCAAAGCCAAAAAGACCAAGCCCTCCCCATTAACATAAAAAACCACAAACGTCATCTGATGAAAAGAAACTAAATAACACTGGACATATACCAGTGAAATTTAGATCCAGGCAGTGTATACTTTGTAGCACAAGGAAGAAACCTCATAGAAGATACATGTGTGAAACATGGAATGTGAGTCTATGCATGTACCAAAAAGACAAAACATGCTTTGAACAGTGTCACAAATTTTTTTTTTCTTTGAAATTTAACAACAAAAACACTGATTATTTTTTTAATCCTTATTTTACTGAGTTTTTTTACTCATTTAGCCAAACGTCCCTTATTATGTAGGTACTTATATTTTCACTGCTACAGAAAAATTACATAAATGTTTATTTTTTAAATTTTTCTGACGATTTACCTTGTAAAATAATGTTAAAAAATTATATATAATGCAATTCTTACATACATTTTTTTTTTTTTTTTTTTTAAATTCGTAATTTTCTATTAATTCAGGATATTTGTTAAGTTTGCGGGAGTATAATGGAAAAGTAACCCTTTTTTCTATCAGCAAGATTTATTTCTATTTCATTTTAAAGATTAATAACAATATTTCTTCCCTTTTCATTTCTCATTATCTTGTAATTATATCACCAACTCTTTTTAATACATGTATATTTCTCTACTACTGAACTAGTTTCTTTCTAGTTTAGATTTGCACTGGTTTTTCAATGATGGTTGAATGATTTGCACTGGTTTTTCAATTGTAAACTGGTGCAAATGTTACCAATGCAAAAGTTTAAAATCTGCAATCATCTGAGGCGAAGGAATGAATCAATAATATATTTTACAGAAGTTCCTAAAGGAGAATTAGGTTTGGTTTACAAAGATTTCAGATGACCTCTAGGAACAAACTATATTCGTTAACTGAGGTTTCACTGTACTTACAGACAATTTAGATACTGAAGTTACATTTGAAGATACACACATAAATCCAAATTTCATATATATACATAAATAGAAATTTCATATATATACAGAGAGAGAGAGAATTAAATTACATGAACTTTTGTAAAATTCAACAAATTACATTACATTACAAAAACATTAAAATCCAACAAATAGTAATATAGCAAAAATACAAAATCAAAAACTTCTCACACATACTCCTTTACATTAATATATTTTTCTTACAAATAATACATATAATATATACAAATAAGACTTTTTAGTGTAATTTAATAATTTTTTTCTTTCCTCTACGTCTGTTTTTCAAGCTGTTATTTATACTTTTCAGCTTATAATATATCATAAGCTGAGCATATGAACTGACAATATATTCCCACATTTTTACTGCATGATAATGGCATGTAAGCCATTCATGATCAATTAGTTTCAGTTGGGATATAATTTTGGATTTCACATCTTTTTGGCTACATATTTTATCAAACAAAGTTACAAATTTTTCACCCATCTCACAAACAGTAAATGTAAACTGTTGTGAGGGGTAACACAATCCATTTTTCACTACATCAAATTCTTTAAAATACAAAAAGTAAGTGTGTTCACCCAAAGATTTATCAACAAGAAGAATATTCTTACATAAAGTGCAAGGAAATTGCTTCAATGCCCTTCCAGCAATATATCCAGCAACATAAGCTGCTGAATTTTGTGAAAATACATCATATGATGTACTTGCAATACAAGCACTAGTATCAGAATTTTCATTTGCTACCAATAAGGGATCATCAAAGTCAATTTCCATATCATTTACATCACTGCCATTTCCAGGCTCAGTGTTATCGATAACTGTCAGCAACTCTGTAGGTATCAAAACTGTATCGTTATCAGGTTCACAGTTTGATAGCTTACTTGTGCTTATGATATTTCTGTGCCATTAGTATTCTCATCCTCTGTTGAAAATCATATGCAGTTGGATGGTCATTATTTCCACCTCTGCGTCTAACAACAGAGAAAAAATTTTCCAAGGCATCTTGGGTGAAACGACACATTAATACAAATGGTACATCTTCCAACAGAACTGGAATTAACTGCTGAACTGCTGATAGTGTTAATTTCCAGCCAAATATACTTGGGAAAGATATTTTTTTTTTCTGTTTGAAATTCAATGCCTTTGATGAAATCCATCTTTTCCTTCCAGGTTTTTAAGTGAATCGATGACTTGGTAACTCCTGCAAGAAAAGGATTAGAGTGCTTAAGTGTTCTACTGTTCAAACTGTCAAATAAAATATTTATGTTTGAACAGAAATCTGCTGTAAGACTAGCCGATGCGGGTAAGCCATTTAGTGCACTAAGGTAACACAGGCCTGAAGCCACAGAATGACTGAAGACCTGAGCTGCTAATTTTACACTCATAGCACTAAGGCAATCCACATTTACATGGCGGTCTGTTAATTTCGGAACACATCTGTGAGGCATTTTACGATCAAATTCCCACAAAGATACAATGTGGTTCCAACTAGCAATTTTGCCACCCTGAAATTTAACATCATACTTTCTAAAATTATTTCGCAAGCACTTCAAAAGGTGAGGCACATCAAAAAGTGTGAATACCTTTTTGTCTTGACATATAATATATGGTCTTTCTTCTGTGACTTTCATAAATTTTTTGTAACAAACTACATTGTTTGCACCACCATCACAAACAACAGCCACAGGTATCAAACCACAATCAAATAATTTTGATAGGGCTTCCATGACCAAAGTACACAACATAAAACCTGGAGTAGTGTGAGAAGAAAAAAAATAGCCAATGACCTGTTTCCACTTTTTACACAGCCCACGGACCATAAAAACAAGACCATGAGTTGCATATTCGGGAAACATTTTTAGTTCAGTGTAGGAACCATAATTTTCAAATCCAACAATGTAATCACTTTTCTTATCATAAGATAAGCTTTGCTTTAAAGTGATTTCATCGAAGGATAAGATGCAATACCTGTCATGGATTTTCAGTTTGCTAGCAACTAATTTTATGGCATTGAGCACAGCAACTGAAAATCCAGGTTCCATTTTTATACCAGATACAGCTTTCAATAATGTAGGCTTGCTGGGCAAATGCAAAAAAGCCTTCAGTGTATTATATGATTTTGGACTACTAAGATAGATCTGAAGGCACAAATTTTTATCCATCAGTGACCATCTTCGTCCGTATTTTGACACATTTGATGCTTTTATTTGTGATTTTATAAAAGTGAAAACTACAGAACTAACTAATGAGCTAATCAGCTGGAGTGCCTTTTCGACTCCAGCTTTGTTTGCTTTCCTTTTTGCTGAATGTTTTCGTTTTAAATATGCCAGCTTATGACTTAACTGCCTTATTTTTAAAGATTTTGGTGTTAAATTTTTGTTGCATTTTAATCTTTTTGGTGTCTCGGTGATATTATTTAGTTCTATGGAGTGCTGGTGTGAACCAAGTTCTAGAGAGCCAGAATCTGTTTGTGAAGTGCCAGAATCTGTTTCTGCCAAAGGACTTGAATTATCATCGATACTGATTGCATGCTGCTGCAATTTCGAGCACAACTTCATAGACAGCTGATGAACATTTACAACTCTGTCGTTTCTGGACAGCTCATCAGCTAGGAAGGAAAAAGAAAATTTATATATATATAACAAGACTAATGCATAATAATTCATAATATAATCATTATCAATTAATTATTTTATGAATATTTCATCTCTAAACAAATAAATATTTAACTAACCTTTAACACGGTTTGACATTTAGTTTTAAGAAAAGAAGTTTTGGTTAATCTTCGGATTATGGTAACTTGGCGATTTTTTGGCGACCAACCCTGCTAGTTGTTTTTTTTTTTTTTTTTTGGACGCCATTTTGTTTTGACAAAGTAAAGGCATGTTTTTTTTTTTTTTTTTTTTTTTTTTTTTTACTACTCAACATTTTTTTTTTCCAACAATTTGCTAGCCGAATTACGCTTATGCTAGAACTTTTATGGAACAAAAGTGCTTAATCATCACGAAGATTAGGTGCGAAATTGGGAGAAAGTGCAGAATCGCCCACTGCTTGCAGCGTTAAGAATTGCACATACACGGTATCATCCATGTATACGTCGATCTATTTTGACTTAAAAAAACATCACACAGAATTGCACAAAAATGGCATTGCGTACACTCTTGACTTTATCCATTTACACTGCTAAAGTCCTAGCTAGTAAACTTTATCGCCTTACCAAAATGTCGCCAAACTACCAGTTACCATATTCCAAAGATTAGCCGAAGTTTTAATTTTATTTTTAATTATCGTTAATTTCATTTATCCTGAGTTTGTAAATCTGATTCAAAGCCTAAAATTATACTTTGCGTAAATATATTCTGCTACATCATATTCTAAGAACATTCTGCTATATCCATAAAGGATTTACTAAGGAAAATTTAATGGATTTTAAAAAAGGGTTACTTTACATTCTCTCATACCAAAATTGACTATGTAAGAAACAGCAGAAGAGTCCTTTCATAATAAATAAGTTATATTATTTATGTAAACAAATGAAATTTCTGTGGGAGATTAAACTAAATTATCCTTCAGAAAAAGATTTATCACTCTTTTTAAAGACAGCAGACTACTCTCTTTCTAAGATAACATAGTAAGTTGTTGATCAGTACAATATATAAGAGGTTAAATTTTTAAAAATTTTTGAAATATATAAACTTGAAATTAATGCATACCTGTTTCACCAAATTTTGTTGGTTTAGCACTCGAATGCAAAAAATGCTTCTTAGTTGTGGAATATGCATTGTCTTCAAAATGTGCGGAACAAAGACGACTTCGATATAAAAGAGAAGGTGGCTTCTTTAATATTTCCTTGTCACGTCCAATCAAGTAAATTCTACATGCTTCAAGCCATTGTGCTGATCTATAAAAGTTAAAACAACATGAAATTTACACCTACTTTACACAGGGAACACTAGTTTTAAGCATTCATTTAAAATGTAACTTATTACTGTGCAAAACAAATACATATTTTAGTTTTTCCAGAAATTTGACATGTAGATAACATTTAAGTACTAATTTATGTACAAAAAAATTAATATTTATGCATTTTACTCAAACTAATGTTAAATTTTTAAGCATTCTGCTTATGAAAAAATTCATTTTAGCTGATGCATATATTCAACTAATGCTTCTACGATTTTGTAATATTTACATAAATATTTTATTACTATTGTATATATAATTAGGCTAAACAGATAAGGCAACATTGAATATCACACAAAGTATGTTAATGAATATAACGTTTTCATTTGAAAAGGAATAATTTTTTTAAATAACAGAAAGTTAAAAAAATTTCTTCATCTGTCATACTGTACTTATTTTCATGCATTTTAAATACTTATAACTTAAAATAAAAATTAAATTTTTACCTCTCTGGATTTTTAGGAAACCGAAAGAATTTTCTTTCAGGAAAATACCAAGAATTGGCATTACACACCACACAACGCACATAAGCCTTTGGTGAAGGATCATTTAACCTAAATGAATTATTATTATAAAGATTTAAATCACATCAGTACAGAATATATAAAAATTGAATATAAAAATAAAATATGGATATTTAATAATTAATTTACAGAATACATTTAAGTTGCAAGGTTGAAATAAAATAAAAAAGAGCCAATGAATATCATGACACCAGAATTATGCAGCTAATTTACTTTAATAATTTTATTTTTAAAACTGGAAAAATTATTAAAAAATTAATTTAAAAAATAATTAAAAATTGGGATAATATTGCAGTTCTTAGTAGCAAAAAAATGATATCTGTGAATAGTTTATTATAAAGATTCTTTGATTATAAATAATGCTCAATGTATAGAATTAGAAAATATCATGAACTAAAAAATTGATACCTGGTTAAAAACGAAAATAGAAGAAGTTGCAATATACATTACATATAACTGCAGGAAAGATCGGATATGAAGAACTGAAATAATTTTCATTAGCAATCATAGTAAATCATCCATGATTGCTTGATTTTATCCTCGCAATTATATACAAATATACTAATTTTGCGTAAGAAGCTTTGATAGAGATTTTTCGAAATACTTCTGATTTCTTTAACAGTAGGAATTATAATTTTTCAATAAAATGTTCCAATGAAACTTTTAACTTTTTTAATGCCAACTTAATTAATAATCGTTCATTACATGATATTTGATTACCATCCCATGTTATGGAATGGATTTGAACATAACTCTGGTAATTAAAAAATAATTCTACTATGAAAAGGTATAAGAATTAAATATTTTTACGTACCTTTCACACGCAGGATCACTAGAGCGTGATTCATTATTTTTTTCCATTTCCAAATGTTCAAAATTGCTGAAATCCTCGTGCTTAGCGTTCAATATGGCGCGCTATGACGACTTCTACGATGTTGTTGACAAACTCTCTCTGGCTCTAGCGCGCATGCGTGAATGAATTTCAGAGAACCTGAATTTACGCCTGTAAAGTTGTCAAAAAAGACACATTTTAGACTCAGTTTTTCTCCGTGGCGTTGCTGTGCAGTCGAAGCTTGACTTCTTCTCACTATAGTTTTTTGATAATACGGGACCAGCAGAATTTATATACCTTTAATTGTTTCGGGCAAAAGAGGGGTTAACACCGCAAAGAATTCGTTAAAACTCGAACCAAGAAAGGGAAATTTATTGTAGAAAAGGGGCAATTTATGGGGAAAGATTGAAGCGGAAATTTTCTTTATCAAGTGCCCCAGACAATTTTATGGCCAAAGCTAGCTCCAAAGTTTGAAGGCCCCTATGTAATTCAGGAAATCAAGGGATAGTATTATATCTTAAAAACGAGAGAGGGGGAAATCTGTAAAGCAAGTCCCGACCAGGTGAAAAAATACTATAATCCAAATGATTTTGAAATCCTTAAAAGTTTCTTGCAGGACTCAAGTCTAAACGAAATAGAAGGGCCAGAGACTGCAACAACTATTCCACAACCCAAGAAACGGAGAACTGAAGAGACCTAGCACTTCTACAACCCGGACGTCGGTATCAAAAAGAAAAAATGATTTTCAAACTCCGGCGTTTGAGAAAAACAAAAATACAGATGAACCGGGTAAAGAAACCGTGGTAAAGACGAAAACACCACCTACAAAGGATGGCAGGAGAAATTACCATCAAGGAGAACGCGCCACGGCCACAGAGTCAGGTTGCCAGCAAGCCCGCCGTTCCGGAAACTGAAACGCCAACAGGAGGCACAGAAGTACGAGGAACAGAAGAAATTCAAGGACTCCAGACCGGAGGACGTCAAGACCAGCCGTCCCAGGCAGAAACGCAAAGGCCAACAAACCAGACGATTACTCCGTCAAGAGGCCAGCATGTAGAGGACGTAAAAGAAAGAGCAACGTGGACGACACTCGGAGATCAATAAGGAGAAGATTGACATCCATGACACCTCTAACTTGGGATCCATTTTGCCAAAAACAGATGACGGAATTTCAAGCATCGAAAACTCAAAGATAAGTTAAAACCTTCTATAAATTTTTCTTTCTGTTTTGTTCCGAAATGTTATGCATAAGTACGAAGTTCTATGTTTTGACGAAAGTCAATATGTCTCGGTTGAGACTTAGTTTTGTTTTACTTTATTTAGCTAAAGCAAAAGTATTATTTTTTCTTTAAGTGTAAAAGCTAAAAACAAGCATTTTCTGTTGGTCGAAAGACTAATTCTGTTATGTTAAAGCCAATTTGGCCGAAGATAAAAATAACTTCGTATTCTTGTATTAATAAGAATTTTACTTTCAGTGCCGCCAGTTGGCGAAGAATGAGTAAAGTAAAAATTATTTCTCTTATTCATTTGATGGTAAATTGCAAAAAGCATATGTATTAAAAATTTGTAAATGTATGTAAATACTTGAAGGTTATGTAAAAGTAGAATTTAGTCTAGAAGCATAAAATTGTAGATGCTAAAAGTGAATGCTTAAAAAGCAATGAAGTAAAAATTTAAGTAGTAAATTGTAGATAAAGTCATGCTTTAGAGCGAAAGCCTGCATGTTTAAAGATGAATGAGGGGAAGTTAGAATGAATGTGTTTTGTAGGGTTCTCCACCTACATTTGAATTTTAAGACTATTAAGTAGCTCATTGAGTTGTAGAATGTCGAGTAAGGTGTGTCTATTTGGTCGTTGAATTCTAACAAATCATGGTGGTTAGGGGAAGTGTTGTAAGACTAAAACGCGAATATTCCCGTTTGAAACACCACACACGGTGGAGAGCCAGGGTAAAGTTAAAATTAATGCTTGAAAAATTGAATGAGTGAAGTGAGCAATAACTAAGAAAAACGAATCGTTTAAAAACAAAAATTTATTGTGTCAAGAAAGTGTAAATTATAATGTATGTAGAAAAGATACTGATACTTATTCCTTCCAGATGCTGGAAGGAAGACCAAGATTGATTGATGAGGTCCAGGAAAAGTTGCTGTAAGAAGAAAGCTTTGTAAACGAGCAAAAGAATTTTAGTATATAATTGTTACATAAGATTTTTTTTGGTGTAAACGAGGCTTTCGCCAGTTAGTTCAGATTAGATAAACTTACAACAGGTCGTTTGTAGGACCTGCTTCCAAGTTTCCAATTCTGGCAGCGGCAAATGTAGGGTTTATATTATTTTAACTAACATTTATTTAAGTTTTAAAAAACTATCTTCCTGTCAAGCCTTACTTTCCCCTGGAACTGCCAATGCCAGAATATGTAAATTTTAGTAGAACGCGCAAGGATTCAAATTATCAGCGGAAGTATTCTGATTTAAATAGAAGGAAACAAGTTCGGTGAGAGAGTGTTATTCTTACTTAGCGAGCGCGGAGGTAGAAATCGAGAATTGAAGAACCCCGCGTTGCGGCCTATGTGCTTGGCGGAAGTAGTTGCAATTGTTCCAGTGAGCTTCAAGTCTGCCGAATTAGTGCGGTATTTGTAAACGCGGTTTGAGTTAGTTATTTAGAGAGCCTCGTAGTTAGAATATTGTCTTTACTTTCTTTTCAGGTTCTTATTTTTATTGACTGCCTAGTGGGCACAGTCTGTAAGCGTCAAGAGGACGCCATTGTATTATTACGTTGAATAAAAAGGGACTTAAACCCTTTATAAGACTCTGTGGTTTATACAAGCTTTCACAGTCACCTCTTTGTTGCGTGCTAGTTAGAGGCGCGCAACGTTATAATCTTAAATTCGGTCTTTAGTCAGGACTCTGCTAATGATGACATAACATATGATGCCATTCCAGATTTGGATTTTAAGCAACAAGAACTCCTACAAGTGCTCAGACGGTTACCACATAGAAAAGCGCCAGGGCCAGATGGCGTAGATTAAGCAATACTAAAAGTTATTATAATCGCAACTCCAGCATTCTTTGTCCTGTATTTCAATAAACTTTTTAGCATAGGCACCTTTCCTAAGCACTCCAAGACAGCACAGGTTGTTTTATTTTTGAAAAAGAATCGGGACCCAGCAGATTCAAGTTCTTTCCGTCCTGTCTGTTTATTATCAGCAATGGGCAAAGTTTTTGAGAAACTCTTTATGAACAGACTCCGTTTCCATCTGCAGAATCATAACGTGCTTAGCCCGAGACAATATGGCTTTAGGACTGGTTTTTCAGCTACGCATGTACTTTATGATATACGAGAGTTTATTCTAGAGAACAGAAAAAATGGCTACCGCAGTGCGCTTGCGAGTATTGATCTCAAGAGTGCTTTCGATAACCTTTGGTGGCCAGCTATCAGGAAAGCGCAGGGATGCTAACTGTCTAATTAACATCTAACGGACTTTATGTCACTACCTCTCTGATCGCAAGCTTTTAGTTGTTCATAATAATGGCTATATAGAACGTCAGCAAACTATGGGCTGTCCCCAGGGTTCTTGTGCTGGCCCTAATTTGTGGAATCTAACATTCAACAGCGTTTTAACAGCTGAGTGGTCAGCACATACAAATATCTACGCATATGCTGATGATGCTGACTTGATAGTGCGAGGAAGATCTCGCGAAGAATTGCAATCCAATTGCAATGAAGCATGCAGGTTCTTCCACTCTTCTTGTACATCACTAAAGCTAACTATAGCCGATCAAAAATCTAAAGTTCTATGTATTCCTAAAAAAGGATGGTCACTGGTGCGGGTTATGCTCAATGAATAAAGTATTCACATTGTTAAAGAACTGAGCTATTTCGATCTTATTTTTTATGAAAAAATGACCTGGATACCTCACGTAATTGATCTCAAGACCAGAACATTGATCATTGCCAGACTGTTTAAGCAGCTTCAGGGCATAAATGGGGCCTTAACCCACATATTTAGAAAATTGATTAAACAATGATCGAAAAGATTATTACGTATGCAACAGCTGTATGGGCATTTCCTATGCAGGGTTGTAAAATTAGACATCTGTTAGCAATCCAGAGACCCTTTGCCCTAAACATAACTCGTGCTTATCGCACAACAGGTTCTAATGCCATCAATGTTTTAACAGGTTATTACTCCTTTACTTATGAGTTGAAGAAGAGGCTATCAGACAGCCCATCAAACAAATACGGCGACCAGCTTTCTTCTATGATGAATATTTCCTTTCAGAAGAGTATGAAATGCTGGCTCCTGATTTTCGTACCCATCCATCATTTAAAGGCGTTCGTATTCGCATCCAAGTCCAGTCAGATACTGCAGCTGTACCTTATCGAATGGAAATATGTACAGACGGCTCGAAAATTAACGAAAATACAGCAATTGCTTTTGCTGTTTTGCGAGATCATATAGTTACATATCATTGGAAATGTCAACCTATCAGGACTTTGGCGAACATAACGTGTCCTGACTAGACAGTGAGTTTGACTGCAAACTATGTCCTATGGAGTGTAGGAGAGACGACAAGATGAGAAGGGTTTCATTACCCCTTATTTTCCACGATATTACAGGCGTTCCCACACTTCGGGATATAAAGACCAACGACTTGTGGTCTGAACGCAAAATATGCGAACTACTAACTAAAAATAAGAGTTAACATTGAAAACTTTACACAAATGACTAACACTAAGAATGGCCTTTTAAATTATTACGTATATAGTACGCAAACTGCGGAAAACTACAATAGACCTTTAGCTTTCAAGATGACTAAAACCTCTGACCTTAAAGGCGGACAGCAACTGATTTCAACCTCGCATGAAGTATAGTAGCAAGAAGGCTCACTCTCTCCCCATCTAACTCTGCTCTTGGCAAAAAGCCACGACTTAAATACTTAAGCATTAGCTAGTACAATTTTCATAAACAATTTAACGTCTTTATTCTGGCCGGAAGCGGAAAATAAGAGATGATAGTAAAGTTTTAAAATAAAATAATGTTAGTAAAACTTAAGATCCTTACAAACTGCGCTCTCAAATTCAGTCTTCCAAGGTCCAAAGAACATTTTATTAAT